CTGATAGAATGCAAGGCATTATCTCTCTTTTTAAAAATCTGTTAAGATTTGTTTTGTRGCCTAAAATATGGTCTATTTTAGAAAATGTTTCATGTGCTGCTCAGAAAAAAGTCATTGATAAATGAAATGTTCTATATATGTCTGTTAGATATAAATTATTAATTGTATTTTTTAGTTCTGTAGCTTCTTTTTTTAGTTTTTGTTTAGATGGTTTAGAGAGGCATGTTAAATTCACCCAGTATTTTTGGGTTGAGGTCTATTTGATTTTAGGATTTGTTTGATGTATAGAGATGTCCTTTGTTTGGTGCATAAATATTTACAATCATTGTTTCTTACTGATGTATGATTCCCTTAAGCAGTATGAAATGGCCTTTGTGGTCTCCTCTAATTGCCTTTGGCTTGARCTCTGATTGATCTGATATGAGGATAGAAATCCCTACTTGTTTAATGAGATCTATGTGAATGGTATTTTTTTCCCATTCTTTTGCCTTCAGTCTGTGGATGTCTTTGCCTACGAAATAAGTCTCTTGGAGATAGCATATTGTTGGGTCCAATATGCTGACCTTTGTCTTTTGATTGAAGAGTTTAGCCCATTTACATTCAATGTTATTATGAAGAGATTATTTTTATTTCCTGTCATTTTAATTTATTTCTGKTTTTTTAAATTTGAATTTGATTCTGTCTTGATTGACTAATCTTCTAGTGTAGTTCCTTCCTCTGCTAGTTTTCATTTTTATTTTTCACTTCTTCTTCATGAAATATTTTAGTTATTTCTTTTAGCTTTTGTTTGTTGTGGAAGGTTTTTATTTTATCTTCTAGTCTGAATCTTAATTTTGCTGGGTATAATATTTTTGGTTGGCATCCGTTTTCTTTCAGAGCTCAGGATATATTATTCCTAAACCTCCTAGCTTTTAGAGTTGGGGATAAGAAATCAGTTAAGATCCAGACTGGTTTACCTCTAAATATGAAGTATTAATTTTCTCTAGCAGCTTTTAGAATTTTATCCTTATTCTGTATGTTAGTTGTTTTCATAATAATATGTCTTGGAGTAGATCTGTTATAATTTTTTATATTTGGAGTCCTGTATACCTTCGCTTATTTGAATTCCCATTTCATTCTTAAGGTTTGGAAATTTTTCTGTTATTATTTATTTCATTGAAAAGATTGTGTATTTCACCAGGTATAGTGGCACACACCTATAATCCTAGTGGCTTAGGAGGCTGACTGGAGGTTCGCAAGTTCAAAACCAGCCTCAGCAAAAKCGAAGCACTAAGCAACTCCATGACACCCTGTCTCTAAATAAAATACAAAATAGGGCTGGGGATGTGGCTCAKTGGTTGAGTGCTGGGTTTTGTTCCGCTACTAAAACAACGCTCAGGGGTCACTCCAGGGGAACTGGGCTAACTGAGCTTTGCAAAATAACCACACAAGAGACAGAAATACCTTTTTCTTTTGGGGTTGTTGTGACAGCTCCTCTGACCTTAAGGGTCCGTAGAAAGAGAGATAGAGCACACTCTGATCCCTTTTATTGAGGAGAAGCTATTCAAATGAGGCAAGGGGTCAGGTTTCAAGGGGCTGAGTCTATCTTCATGATGTCCACTATCAGCAGGTTGACTGACATCTAGGTAGGCCAGACCCAAGGGCACAGTAAGAGAAGGGGACACACACAAGGTGTTTCCATGGAATATTCCATCCCAAATAGGGCAAGAGGTAATATAGTACAAAGGAACAGGTGAGCGTAGCTTCACCCATGGGGCTATAGCCAGACACACCCATGCACGAGACACCATCCCTCGAACCCAAGAAGGGTGGGGAAAGTCTAGCAGAATACCACCTGACGCCTCAGCACCCAGCCAGGGAGTGTGACTTAGTCAAGTCAAGGTTGGTCTCCCACAGTTGAGTATCCCTGAATTCAACACCCACCCCCCTAAAAAGATTGTACATTACTTTAATTTGTATTTTAGAGCCTTCATCTAGCCCGATGAATCTTAAATTTGGCCTTTAATGTTATCCCATATTTCTTAAATATTCTGTTCACAGTCTCTGAACATCTTTTCTCTATGGTCACCTTTATTTTCAAGATCATATACTTTGTCACTGATGCCTAAAAATTTGTCTTCCAAGTGTTTAGTCTATTGGTGATACTTTTCATTGAACTTTTAAATTGGTTTGTTTATTCCTTCATTTTGAGGATTTCTAATTGATTCCTTTCAGAATCTATATCTCCTTATTGAAATGATCTTTCACTTCTTGTTTTTTCTATCTGATTTTACTCCTTATATTGTCTTTCACCTCATGGAACTCTTTATGAACTTTCTAAATTCCTTTTCTGGCATTTCTTCACTGTGGTGTCAGTGAAGGATGTTATTTAGGCATTTGGAGTTGTTCGGGATGGTTTGTTCCTTGTTTTTTTTTT